TCTCCCACATAAATTACTCAATCCAGTCTATTGCCAGCTTAGGTTTCAGGGCAAAGTTTATTTAAAGAAATTAAGTAACCTGTGACAATCTCCCCATTCCAATATCTACTTTTCTATCTCTCAACAAAGGGCCCATCATGTGTGAGTGGGATGGAAAGGAAGAGGGTGTGGTCCTACTGTACAGTTACTCTTCAGCCTTCTGTATGTGCTGTCCCAACCTCGGACAACAGCCACTTGTTCAATAGTGGTGCTACCCTGAGAGCATTTTAGGTCAGTGGCCATCTCCTGAGTTCATTGGTCACACTCCAATCACTGTGATCAATATAGGGGTGATCAGTGGTAGACAAAGGTAAACAAGAGGCACAGGCTGTTGAAGGAACATCCTCTATTAAAAAGAGGGTTCTAAGAATGACACATGGAATGCTCAATTTGTTAAAGTGCTCAACTACAACACTAAAAACAGAAGTGTTGGGAAGGTGCAGAGCAAGTTATGATCGGAGAAGCCTCCGGAAAGAGCGAACAAAAGAAAGTACTCTTTCTTTTTAAGAGTACTTAAAAAAAACTCTGCCTACATCATTTCAGCAATGACAAGGGAGAGGAGAGCATAGAGCTTATTAGTTTTGGAATTATTAGACCTTGGAATCAAACGTCCCTACAAGGGAGACCAGCTCCTCTAATACCACATGGAGACCAAAACGAAACATTTATCATTACATCTTTTTGCTCTAACTCTTCTCTCACCAAACAAACTTCTAATCTGAAGTCTGGTTTCCTCCATAATAAGGTCGATTATGGGCAAGTGATCAATTTATGTATGCCCTGTAAACTACCTTCCAATGGGGTGGTTAGCAAAAACCTGGAGATGAGAAATAGGACTTCCCAAATCTGCCAGGTTGACACCCACACTTAAGAACAAGATATCCAGAATGTACCTATTTTCTTGGCATGATTACAAGATCCAGGAGAGGGGTGCTACGGTTGTGAGGGGAAAGTATCCAACAGCAGCAGTGGCTCTCTTATCCTAGAAATTAGTGTACAGCCTCAGCAGTCAGTTGTAAGTCCAGTGAGCAGTGGCCCAACCCTGGCCCTTGCATAGGTCCCGATGGCGAAGGAAACAGGCGTGGACTCGGAACCGACGGCCGCAATGGGGGCAAGCATGCAGGGCTCCAGCATGGGTCTTCATATGCTCTGTCAGATGGTGCTTCAGCTTGAAGCGTTTATTGCAGATGCCACAGCCAAAGGGCCGAAGGCTGAAGGTCAGCATGATGTGCCGGTCACGCTTCGGCTTCACGGCAAACCGCTTCCCACACAAGCAACCAAAGCGTTTTCCATCGGCAGGGGGTGTACCTCCTAACTTGACAGGCCCGTGCACAGCCTGCCCTGCACCCCCAGGTCCCCCACCCCCTGACAGGATTTCATTACCATGAAGATCCACTGGTTTCCAGGATGGTCCTCCTCCTCCTCCGTATGTCCCCCCTGCTCCTGAGGGCAGCAAGAACCCTAGCTGTCCATTCCCTTCAGTGTCCCCTCCAGGAAACACTTTGGTCTCCTCCTTTGTTCCTCCAGACTGAGTTCCACCCCCTGATACCTCTTCTTTAGGCTCAGAGGGTTCCTGTTTAATGTAGAAGACTTTGGGGGGCAGTGCAGTGTGAGGGGCAGGGGGCTCAAGTGGTGCACTCTCACCTTCTGAAACCCTGCGGGGAGTAGTGGATATGGGCAATGGGTGGGATCCATGAGGACAAGGAAAAGCCCCTGATACTCTCTGAGGCTGAGGTGTCTGAGAGGGCGATGCGGACCCCTGGTCCTCCTCCTCCTCATCTTCTTCTTCCTCCTCCTCCTCCTCCTCTTCTTCAACTTGAATCTGTAACACGTCTCCCAGTTCACTCCCCTCCCCTAAAACAGGGCTCTCAGTAGAGGTGGAAGACTGCACGGGGGTCTGGAAAGGGGAAGAGCGAATGCACCAGCCTCCTGGAGAGGATGTGGTGGAAAGAAGTGTGTGGTAAGAGGGCGCCCCACGGGTTGAAATTCCACCACCTGAGGTTTCAAGTTCTCTAAGAATCTCTGAGCACTGATCGACTACTTGCCACATCTGGAGGCCACTGGCCACAAGGAGGTGGGCAGGGAGAGCATCCAGTGGCAGACGGAGGCGTCCTGAATAAATGAGCTGCAGCAGCCCCTCGAAGGCATCGGCTTCAATGACGCTAGGCAGAGTGAGACGCGGCGCATCCCCCAGAAGAAGTTTGTCATGGAAGTAAGGAGAGGCAGCGGCCAGCACTGCTTTGTGAGCCCTAAGTTCCCGACCCTGCACCAAGAGGGACACATCACAGAACTTTCCCTCTAGCCTGTGGCGGTTCAGGGCTTCCAGTAGCACTGAGCTATGCTGCGGGAACTCGATCTGGATGGTCCGTGGGGCCGGGTTGCAGGTCGGGGAGGGGGGTACAGGGGGCACAGGCGTCGCGGTATCCATACGGCCGCTTCAGAAAGAGCGAGATCCCAGAGGATGGATACAGGAGACGAAGGGCTGGGCGCGGACCCCCTCGCGGGATGAAGGCTGTGGAGGAAAGAGATGGGGTCACAGAAGCTCTGGGTAAGGACAACTACGTCTCCTCACACAACACCCGCCTCCCCAACCCAACCGGCGGAAACTTTTCAGTCAGTGGTAGTTTCTGCACATCAGTCCCGCGCACTCCCCCACCAAGAAAAGAAAAACGAAACAACCATAAAAGACCAACCGGGGTTTCACTTCCTGGGCCTGTGGAGAAAGATGAGGAGGTCCTTCGAGCCACGCGCCTGACCTCGCCTGCCCCTGACCGCTAGCGCCCGCCGCTACACTCCTCACGGTGTCCAGAGGTGCCCTTCTCTCCCAGGAAGCCGCGGCCGCCGGGAGAGCGTGAGCACCGGCCGGGAAGCCCTTCCCGCCGCCACGCCCCCGCCGGTACACACGCGGCACAGGGTCGTAGCGCGTCCGCGGTCACTGCTCAGTTCGGCGCCGGAAGCCTCCGCCTTCCCGCCGGACGCCAACGCCAGGCATGGTGGGCGTTGCCAGAGCCGCAGCCAATCGGAAGGCAGTGGCCTACAAGCCTCGTGTTGATTGGTTGCGCGGGAGAGAAGGCGGTGATGATAGGAGGTCTTTGGCCCCGCGCGGAGGCGGATGGGGAGGCAGCGCCTGCGGGAGGACCGCGGGACAGTCCACCGGAGACCGTAGCCCAGAAGGAGGGGGCGACCCCTAAACCCCGCGGGTGATTAAATGTAGCGCCCATCCCCAGCTAGGTGCTGAGAGGGAGAGATTAAGTGGGCATCTATTGTGTGGGCCGGCCATGGTCCACGTCACCTCGTATCCTTCCCCATCCCTGCAAGGTAGGTATTGCCGCACTCAGTTTCCTCGGGGGAAACCGAGGCTGGCAAGTGATGGGCCTAGGATTAGAACTCAAGATTTGCTAAGAAACCAAGTTCTTTACCCCATTCCCTGAGGTAGCATTTTAACTAGCAATTAAATAAACCTTATATCTAGGTAATTACTAAACATGTATGTATTTGTGTGTACATATGTACTTGGAATTTTTCTTAATCAGATAATGTTCCTTGGCCTCTTTATTCATTCGGGTTAAGGTGAGAGCTAGATTGGGTAAGCTTGGCCAGTGCACAACCCCCGGCTCAAAAACAGAACAAATCTGATAAATCGCTGGGTCCGGAGAATTATATTCTGGAGGAGGCTTTGGCATCGTGCAGGGATATGGTTTCTCCCAGGCTGTCAGCTTCCTGTCAAAAAGCAGGACCCTGCTAGTCCTTCTGGAGGTCCCAGCTTAGGAAAAAGTCAGCACAGCGATAAAAGAACAATCTCCGTTTATTAAACATGATTTTTCTGTTTCACCACACACTCCAGAAAAAAAGGAAATGGGGCTGGGAGTGGAGAAAAAGGGATAGTGGGGAAGGACAGAGAAGGCTGGGAGTGGGGTGGGATAGGGTGGGGAGGGAGAACGAGAAAACAAAATAAAACAGGTAGGAAGAGCATCTCCCTACCCTTAGGGTGATTGAGGGGGAGGGAAGCGTGGGGGGGGAGGGGGCCAGGAAGCTCTGTACAGAGGGGTTGCCCCCAGCCCACACACACACACCCCCAATATGTACAGTACAAACCCCAGATAATTACAACAGCCAAAGAGAGGAGGAAAGAGGGTCCAGGGGTAGGGTCTGAGGTTGGGAAAGCAAGGAAAGGGCACAGGGATAAAATTTCACATATTTACAACTTTTATATAAGTATAAATTTGGCCCCGGCTGGGTGTATATGTGTAGGGGGATGGGACTGAAGGGGAACTGTCCATACAAAAGAAAGAAGGGTGAAGTCTGGAAGGAGTCTCAATACCAAACGCAAGAAGGGATGAGGGGGCAAGGCTGGGTAGGGGACAGCAGTCAGGGAAGAGGGGGTGCCAAGGAGGGGCTTCTCCCCTCCCATGACCTACCCACCCTAAACCCCATCCATCCTACCTCCCCTATCCCGCCAGAGAGCTATGTACACAGAAACACCGAAAAATTGTGGAGCTGGCGGGAGGGAGGGCGGTGGAGGGAGATTGGGGAGGGGGGAGGATGAGAGGGAAGCCCAGCCCTGTCCTACCTCCCCCGGGGGGACAGAGTCATGGAAGGGGGGCCCCCAACACCCCTCCTCCAACACAGGTCCCCCCACCCTGGGGGAGAGAGACATGGCTTTTCCTAGAGTAAGTTCCCCCCTCCCCCTGGGAGTAGAGACCAAGAAGAGAGAGGGGAGGGGCAAGGGGGGCTGTGTGTGTCAGGGTAGGGCAGACCAACTAGTCTGTCCTCCCTAACATACACACCCTCCTAGACCCTAACCCCTCACCCAACCTCAATTCCACCCCACCCAACACACTGGGGGAGGGGGGGGCATAAGCCCCCTCACCCCGCTCTGGGACCAGCCAAGAGCAGATCAGGTGTGGGAGGAAGGGGAGACGACTCCCATTCCCCCCTTGCCGCCCCCTCCCTGCCCCGGTGGCCCCTCCACCCCATCTGGGTTCTGGGTGGGGAGGGAGTAAATTTAAGAGTAGTAGGAGAAGAAGGAGTTTGTGCGTGCTGAGCCCCCCCAGACGCTCCTGAGAAATCAAGGGGTAATAGGGCCCCCTCACCCGGGGTCCCCTCCCCATAACAAGGGGGACAGGGGAGGCCAAAATGGGGCGGTGGAGGGGAGTTAGATTGTCAGCTCTGGTTACTGCTAAAAAATCACCCTGAAGTTGAAAGTTTGGAGGTGCCACACCCCCAGGGTGGGGGTGAGGGTCTGTCCCCCAGTGCTCAGGGGAACGATGAGGCAGAGGATGGGGATAGCACCCCGGAGTGAAGGGGTCTGTGTGGGGTAGGTGGTGTCCTGGGGCAAGGGTCCCTGGGGGTCACAGGGGGCAGCACCCCAACAGGAAGGAAAAGGGGACAGCTAAGGGTCCGCACTCTTCCCCCCCTGGAAATGGTGCGGTGGGGGTGGGGGATTGGTGCCCCCCAAGGAGGCATTCAGGGAGGCAATCCCGCTGTCCCTCGGCGACATCCAGTCCTGGTGGTGGGTGCTGTTCCAGGGCAGGGTGCATGGGGAGGGAGAGGAAGGTCTATGGTGCTGGGTGGGCTAGTGGTCTGCGGTGTTTCGGAACTCGCCGTTCTCGGTGATCTGCAGCCGGGGTGGGGGGGGCGGTGCTGGGGGGGCCAGGCCGTTCCAAGGTGGGGCCAGCGTCACACGCGGGTTTGTTGGACCCAAGGGGGGAAGCTGCCTCTCCTGCAAGACACCAAAGAGGAGAGCGCGGACTTATTGAGACGCTTCGCGGGGGCCTGGGTGCCAGCCCCCTTAGCCATGCCCCCCTCCATGACCAGCCCACTCCATAAACCATGTCCCCCTCCCTGCCCCCAGGACAAGCCCTCCCACCCCCATCTTCCTATTTTGTTTCTCACCTGAAGTAGAAGGTACATCTTCTGGGATCAGGGAGAAGAGAATCTCACCCCCTGACTCCTAACGGGCCTTCAACCCAGGGAGTCATACCAGGAAACCAGTTCAAAAGAAACGAGTTCCTATCTCACCCCCAACCTAACCCCTTGTATCTTCCCCTACCCAGCCTCCCTCCTCCTCTTGGAACCCCCTCCCAGTCCACCCCCAATCCAAGGTAGGAACTTTGTGTTAAGGGAACAAGGGGAGGCAGTACAGCAAAACCTCATTAATCCGAACCCCTATGGATTTGGAGTTTTTTCATAATTTGAACAAAAACTGGGCTTGAATTTTCAGCTCTGAAGAAAGGGTGTGCTAAGCAAATCAATGGTGGGAACGTGTCTGTAGGAGGGTACCAGCCAACAGACTTTTGAATCCTATCTATTCATGAACGCATGCTCCCTGAGGACCTCGAGTGGAAAAGCCCTGTTCATTGAGTCCTACTTAAGTGGATGTGTTTTGAAGACGTGCATTTCAATAGACACCGCCATTCCAATTCTGTCACTTGTTCAGAGTGGTCATCTTCTTGAATGAAACATTCCAAATCAGAGAGAGGTTTAACTGTACTGGGGGGTGGGGCAAGGGATTCAGGGAAGTGATGGGGGATGGTAAAAACCTTGTGGGAGGGCTGCCTCTCTCTTGTGCTACTGAGCGTCTGCAGAGGCACAGCATGGCCCCATCTCTGTGCCCCCAGGAAGCAGAACTGCTTCATTCCTTTCCACCCCCATGCTCCTTTCAATCCCTCTCCCTGGGATCCCAGTTAGAAGGAGAGGGGTACCAGACCCTACTCCCCACCCCAAACCAGCTAGCTCCTGCCTCCTGCCCTCAGCTCTGGCTTCTGCTGTTCCTCTGCTCCTCTGCTGGGAGAGAAGCAAGCTGTCTATACTAACTACACTTCCAGTCACTCACTTAGCTTTTTAAAATACAGGCACAAAATTAATTTTTAAGCCAATGGCTGCATTGCAGAGGGACCAAAACCTGAAAGTGATTTAGAAAGGGTCCTATTTATTTCCCGGGCCACTGGGCATTTAGGCCTGTTACGTGTAACCATATCTCTGTAGGATAGAAGAACATCCCAAGTAGAGGCTCCCAGGTCAGGTCTCCCTTCCAAATCAAAGAGCTCACCTCTTTGAAGGTCACCAAAACCCCAGCCTTGAGCAAAACCTCCCCCTTATCTTACTGAGCACCTCGAACATTTTCCCAAAGTCAGCGAGAGAGGAAGTTACGTATGGTAGGGGATCCTGAGTATGGTGGGAGAGCAGGAGAAGGGAACCTCAGATCCCCTCCTCTCTGCCTGTCTGCTGGCAGCAGAGCACAGGCATGCCCCCTACACCCCCATGGACCCAAATTTAGAAAGTAGATAAATGAGGGTGCCGTTATTCATTTTACAAAAGAATTCACTGCAGGAGTCCTTTAAATGGTGCGGTCCCCTGGTGCCTTCTAGCATCTGTTTACAGATCACTAACTACTTTGGCAGAGAGGCTGGGCAGGCAGAGAGTTAAAATTACAGTGTGAAGAGCCACTGCCCACTGCAGATCAATCCCACAGAAAAGAGAGCATCTCAGAAATGATGTCAGTGGCTGACAGGTTCCCATTTACTGGTTTTAAGGTAGGACTGTGCGTCCGGCAAGGCCACTGGGTGGCGGGAGAGGGGGAGTAAGCTCTGACAAGAAGAATAGAGATTATTTAACATGCTGTTCCTGGCATCTCTGCCTGAGAATCCACATGGCTACTGAGCCCATGATCTTATCTGGGAAGACGGCTCACCCCACTTCCAACTCCCACGCCACACAGGCCAGTCTGCATCCTAACATCTGTCAAGGCTCCTTTTTTGTTCCTTCTTGTTCCACTCACCCTACCTAGTTTCCTGACATCCCAACAGCATTCTTTCCAGTGCCCCTTCCCAAAGTCTTCCAGAGGTAGCCTACCCATTCCTAATTCCCACCAGTGGGGCCCAGCAGGAGCTGCAGATGCCTTCTACCTCACAGATGTAAGGGAGGAGGAAGAGAGGAACAGGGGAGGGGTGGAGAACCAAGGTTGGGGAGGGAAGAGGAAACCCCCACCTACCTGCCGCAGTCAGCTCAGCCCCTCTAGCCAGGGTCCCCCAACCCGTCATCACTGCCACCCCTTAACAAACCCCACCCCTAACGTCCCAACTCCCAAGGACGCTCTGGTGAAATGGGGGGTGACAGACATACACTGGAGAGGCAGAGGAAGAGGACTGAGAGGAGGCTGGGCGGTGGATTCTATCGAAGGAGATGGGGGGATGTGCTGGGCCTGTCCAGGGTAAAATGCTTGGAGTGGGTAGGGTGTCACTGAACAGTTCGGGGAGCAGCAGGAAGTGCTCTCTTTGGGCAGTGGCTTGGGAGATGGGTCTGTGCAGGACGTGTCAGGAGGGTAGGGTCTGTGGAGGTTCTCGGGTGTGGAGGGCAGCAGTTGGGGAGCGGGAGGGAGACGCTCCAGAGAGTCAGAGGGAAGTGGGCTTCACGACCAACCTGCAGTGGTCCGGAGTCACCTCCCCCTGTGTCCTCCGCCCGTGGTCAAAGCGGAACCAGGAGAATTACCTGATGAGGAGCTGCAGGGGGAGAGAGTGGGGTCACGGGGTCAGGAGCCTTGGCGGTCGTGGTGGGGAAGCCTGGCGGTCAGAGCAGAGGAAGGAGGAGCGTGGGTGGGAAAGTGAGCAGAATTGGGGAGAGCAAGGGGTAAGGGTGCACAAGGGAGGTCCTAAAAGCTGGCTGAGAGGGCACCTGAGTGGCTCAGTGGGTTAAGCAACTGCCTTCAGCTCAGGTCATGATCCTGGAGTCCTGGGATTGAGTCCTGCATCGGGCTTCCTGCTTGGCAGGGAATCTGCTTCTCCCTCTGACCTTTCTCCTCTCATTCTCAAGTAAGTAAATAAATAAAATCTTTTAACATAAATAAATAAATAAATAAATAAATAAAAGCAAGCTGGCTGAGAAGAGAGGGAGGGCAGCAGGGAGCTGGAGACTGGACAGGTGTGAGGACCAGAGGGAGGGACAGGCCAGAGGCCTTCACTGGATTTAAATACTGAGGGAAGAAGGGCTTATGGGGTGGGAGGGGCCTTCAAGAGCTAAAGAGTCAGAACAGGAAGCTATTTCAGAGCTGCCCCGGGGACACAGGAAAATTGGGGAGCCAAGAGAATAGAGGTGATGGGCACCATTCAGAGCCTGAGAAGATAGAACTCATACTCTATTCCAGCAAACTACAGCCTCTAGCCCTTCAGCCCAAGAAGAGCTCAGAGGAAGCTGAATTCCCTAATGTGAACAGGAGCAGGCACAGACGGGGCAGGGGTGCTGGGAACTGGGTGGGCTCTGGGGGCAGAGAGACTGAGGTTCTGGTGGATGTTCGGAGACCCAGACAGGAGTGGGAAAGATGGGGCAGGAAGGCACAGGGGTGGGGCTGACACTGCCAGGAGTGACAAAGGCACAGACGACGGGATGAAGATGGGGTTGTTGGTGGGGGGTGCTGCCAAGAGCAGCCAGTGGACAAACGGAGGACAGTGGGAGACAGATGGCGATGGGGCTGGGTGGCTGGTGCAGTGAGTGCACAAAGGACAGTGGGATGGATGGGGATGGGACACGGAGAAGATAAATGACATTGTAATTTCCACCTGAGCGTCGAGCAGCCTCTTCTTGGGTTCGGGCAGCGGCTCAGGCATGGCGGGGTGGTCCCGGCGCAGCTCCTCCTCCACCAGCATCAGCCTGAAGGGACGGGCTTCAGTGGGGTTAGTGGCGCGCACGGGCTTGGAGCCTGTCAGGGGAACTCCTGATCCTGGGGAACCCCTGTAGCTCTCTGGAAGTCTCCGGTGTCCTCCTCTGCCCTCAGAATCCTTCCATTGTTACAACCCAAAAGACTCCCTGTATTAACCTCCCTCTCAGGGACCCTCACATCTCCCTGCTAAGGACAGCTTTCTGGGCCTCAAAGACCTCGACCACCCAGACACCCCCCTGGCCCTCCACCCTCTCATTCAGGACAATGCCCTCCCGCAGCCCCTCTATGGCTGAAAGCCTGGCTTCTACGTCTCCCATTCCACCTCACTGAACCTAGGACACCTCCAGTGCCTCCCTTGGGATGCCCATAGCCCAAGAGGGGTCTCTACAGTCATCATTTCCCATCACCTCCCTGCCTTTGATGAAGATTCTCAAGGTGATTTCTCATCAAGGATATCCGTTAGAGCGGGGTTTCAAAATAAGTTTCAAGTCAAGCTCTTTTCTTGTAACTAATCTTACTCAAAGCTACATTCAGAGTGGGTCAAAATGGGACTGGCTCTAGTTAGAGTGGGGCCTGGGGTCCCATCCACTTCTCAGGATAGCTGACCCCCTGTCTGAGACACCTTCTTTGGAGGCCAGGGCTTGACAGAGCTGTTGAAAATGTGCACATGCTAAAAGAAGGGTCATTCATTTTCTAATGGAACATCTTTTCAGGGCTGGAGAAGGTTTACCCAGGATAGGGATGGCTAGGGGCTACTCTGGTTAGGGATCTCCTCATGGGTTCGGGGAGAACGTCATAGGCTTGATTGAGAAAAACCAGTGGGGAGTCTTGGCCTAGGCTGGGGCCAGACACACAGTGATGGGACAGTAACAGGCACATTTTCTTAGGGGTTCAGAAGTTACTCTGTCAGGGGAGAAATCAGGATTTGGCACAGGGACATTTATGCACTAACTAGAGGTTTCTCCCCACTTGGTGATTGGTGAGTGAGTGGCAATCTCTGGGAGCAGGGTCATGGGCTTTCCTCCTGGTGTCCTGAGTTTGGGACTGGAGGCTGGAGAGGGAGCTCACTGGCTCTCTTCAGCCTCAGGCTCTCCCTTGCTACCCCTCCCCAGGCCGCCCCTCACCTGCCAATGATGCTCTTGATCTGCGAATCCTTCTCCACCTGTTGCTGCCTTAGCCTCTTCTCACTCTGCTCCAGTCGGGCCTGATACTGCATCAAGATTTTGCTGGTCTGCTCTTCCTGGGACAGCAGCCTCCGCTCATACTCTTCTAGCTTCCGGTTGGACATGTGCAGCCGTTCCTTCAGTGAGTGGATCTCTTCCTCATACTCCTTCACCTGCCCGCCGGGCACAAGACCCCGCACTATGAGGGGTGCCTCACCCCGACCCCACCACCCAGTCTCTGTCCTTGCCTTCCATGCAGCCACGGCACGGTGAGGGACATCCCAGCGGCCTTCTCCAGTCCTTCCCCTGCCTGCTGATCATACCAGACATGGGGGCTTTTGAGAAGGCCCTTCCATGGGGCAAACTATATGGTCCCATACCCTGAGAAATACATACCTGCCCTCACATGTAAATCTGGACATATGAGGGCCCACACAAGAACCTAGACACACTCAAGGACACACCTTGAGTGACCGCACCCAGAAATTAAAGATTAAGGTGACTGCTCAATCTAACCAGAGCAGGGGAGGGGGATACCCAGGAAGACAAGACATTGGATAAGGAGAGGCTATGTGGGATAACAGGTCTGGGCTTCAGACAAGTCCAGGCTGAGAATCTAGGACTGTGTCTCTGTTGATAATGATCCTGGAATTCTGGGGCTAGAAGGGCATAGGAGAGCCATTTTATCTACCCTGTTGGCTCGAGAGTCTGTAGCTGTGTGTGCTACTCAATACAGCAGCCATTAGCTATGTGTGGCTCTTTAAAATGTAAGTAAAACTAAACATTTCGTTCCTCAATAGCATCAGCCACATATGGCCAGTGGTTACCATACTGGATGGTGCAGATTACAGAACATTTCTCATTACTGCGGGAAATTCTACTGGACGGTCCCAGTCTGGAGCCTTCCTCAACAAAAATATCTCATCTGAGCCATAGAACAGAAAATATGATTTGAAAGAGTATTTGCTCATTCTCCAAAGAGGACACATACATAATCAACCCCATTCTAGACGTAAAGAAGAGATGTTATTTATGACCTCAGGTGGCTACCTTATGGCATTAAGGCTTAATTCTCTCATGGAACTTGCTACGCCAAATCCATCTAGATCAGTCCCAAACATTTTCCTATGCTCAAAGACCATAGCTCCTGAGAAACTTCTCTCTGCCTCCACAAGTTGGGGTCCTACAGTCTTTACATCAACCTAATCCTACAGCCACCCTCTTCTTCAGAGTCCTTGGACCAACAGCTTCCCCAAGGAACTTTCTGCTAAGTTATCTGTGTGGGGCCCCGGAGCTCTTGTTGTCTTTTGCTCTGGGCCACCACCAGCTGAGTCTTGTCTCTGCACACATGGGCCAATAAGTACCACTTCCCAACAGCGACCCTCTGTCACCTGGGTAAGGTGGGTAAGGTGGACATCATCTGTAGTACACCTATAACCTATATGTCCCCACCCAGTTCAGCAGCTCACACCGCTGGTAGAGCAGCCCTCCCTTCCCTGGGTAGTTACAGAAGCCAGGGCTTATGTTCTCTCTGGGGAGGAACACAGAAATAAGCTTTAACATAGACCATTTCTCCGCCAACAGCCTATGATGCGTATAAGCCACAAAATACAGTTGGAAATTGGCTTTCCAACAGACTGTGTATGCCCAGCCTCCCCTAGAAGCCTGAAGGCTTCTCAGGAAAGGGGGATCAGATCTTTGTCTCTTCTTCCCCCTGTAACTACTTGACCCCCGGTGCTTCCCCTGTGCGTACTGGGAAGGTCAGGGGCCCAGCGTACCCTATCCAGTCGGCTCTCATCCATCGACTTGGAGTACTCCTTCAGCTTGTACTCTTCTCGCTCGATGTGGGCACTCTCAATGTCAGCGGACAGGTGAGGCATGTTGGAGACCCAGGCCACCGTCCGCTCGGAGGCTGGCATGGTGGGGTTCAGAGTGGATGGCGCCTGAGAATGCTGGGACGGGGCGAGGTGGGGGTAGAGAGGAAAGGTGGGAGAAGGCAGGGTGCATTTAGGAGAGAGTGCTGCCAAAGGAGATGACCATCCCAGTCTTGCTCCCCTGCTCTTGTGCCGATGCCCTTATGAATGCTGTTTAATTATTTATCATGTCTCCCCTCTGGAGACGTGAGCTCCACGAGGGCATGGCTTGGGTGGCGTTCACTGTCAAAGCCACGGTGCCCATAACAAGACATGGCACATAGCAGGAGCTCTATATACAGCTAATGAATGAAAGAAGGTGAGAATAGTGTGACTTCAGACCCCAGACTATTCTGCCCCCCCACTTCCGCAACCCATTTCCTCCTTCCCTTCCTGTCCCTCCCCCATCTGGCCTTCCTCCCACCCCCACGTACCTGCTTCGTGATGGAGGGCTTGAGCCCCCCACCCCCTCCGCCACCGCTGCCCCCGCTGCCCCCAATGCTGCCCTCTTTGCTGAGGCTCTGTTGCCGTGGACGGGCAGGGCCGTAACTCGGCTCCGGTGACTGCAACAGATTGCCACTGGATGGCCGGGGTTTCTGGGCCGCGCTGACGGTCAACTGCTGAGACTTGCCCCTCTGCAATGGAGGCGGCTGGCCCCCGCCACCCCCACCACTGCCCCCACCGCCACTCCCACCTCCAGGCCCTGAGGGGGCAGGCCTCTGGGGACCAATGGTGATCTGGGGAGGGGACAGCATGTGCTGCAGGTTGTCCTGGAGTGAGAGCTGCCGACGGGTGAAGTCAGTGCCAGAGGGTCCAAACTCATCACTGTAGCTGTGGCTGTGAAGGATGGAAGCGGCAGGGGGCTTGGGGACCCCTGAGGAGAGGTCCTCACTCTTGCTATAGCCATGGAATGGGGCAAAGGTGTCCCCAGGGGGCTCTCCACCTCGGTGGTGGTGATGGTGGTGATGGTGGTGGTGGGAGGAAGGTGGGCCGTGACCACCACCCCCTCCGTGGCCCCCTGGGGGGCCTGGCCCATCAGCAGCCATGTGGAAGAGAGGGTTCTGGAAGGAGAGGGGGATGCGCAGTTGCTGGGCAGGGACACCGTCCGTGGTGACACCCATCTGGCTGAGGCGCATGCCAGCCGCGGTAATGGACGAGCCGCTCCCCTGGGAGAGGCGTCCCGCGGGTGCAGGCCGCAGCCCCAAGGCTGCAGTCAGGGAAGCCTGGCTTGAGTGCAGCAGGTCCCCAACGGCCGCCAGGTTGGACACACTACTGCTGTTGAGGCGGCCACCGGGCCCGTCGCCCTGCAAATCCAGCATGGAGACACTCTTGTTGACACTCAGCATCTTCTGCTCCGGCTCTGTGATGTCCGAGCTGCTTGTGCAGTATGCTGGCGAAGAGCGGGCCAGGGGTGGACGGCTTACATAGAACAGGTCTTTACCCCCACCAGGGGGTGGTGGGGGTGGCTTTTCCTTGGTTGGGGAGGGGAGGCGAGCCATGTCCATAGAGCTGCGGGAAGGGAAAGGGGCATACGAGCAGGAGGTGAGGCTGTGGCCACTGGCAACTGAGCCTACTGTGGGGTGGCACAGGCCTTGGGGTGAGAAGCGGGACCTGTAGGGAAGGGCGGGGAGCTGGTGGTGGCAGCTCTGGAGAGGGCCGGCAGGGAGCATGGGAGGGGATACATGGGAAAAAGGAAAGGAAGAGACCCCTCCAGGAAGGGAGTGAGGCCTAGAGGAGGGGAGATGGGGGCACCAAGAGGAGGGATGAGGGGCAAGTCCGGGCAGATATGGAGGAGATGAGGGTGCATGGAGGAGAAGAGGAGAGGAGGAAGGTGAAGGCCACTGGAGTGGGAGGGGGGAGCAGAGAGGAGAGGAGAGGGGGACGGGGGAGGGGAGAGCCCCTCACCTGTTGAGGCCGCGAGCCATGAAGGACTGAAGGTCGATGGAGCTGGAGAGAGATGGGAAGAGGGGCGAGCACAGACAGAGAGAAGGAGAGAGGTGGGCAGAAGGCGTGGACGCATGGAAGGAGAGGTGGGAATGGTAGAATGGGTATGGCATCATGGAGGGAGACCGGGGCGGAGGGACAAGCAGGGCGGTCAGCAGAATAAGCAGCAGCCGAGGCCGCCGCATTGAAATGGATGCTGGGGCTCAGGAGGCCCTGCTAGGATCCCCACATTACTTCCCCAGCGCTGGGTGGTAACTGAGGTCCGCTAGGTTCTGGTGGGGGCCGGGGTGGTACTTATTTACCGACCGGGCCAGAGACAGTTCAGTGTTTGGGTGCTACATGGCTGATCCAGCATGTGTGGCTGAACCTCGGCTCTGGGGCAGACATGGGCCGGCAGAGGGGCTAGGCAAAGCAGAGTTCGTGGCAGGAAGCCCCAGGCTTCCAATAGGCTGGAGCCAGAGGAGCCCCCTCACTCTTCCTGGGGCTCGGAGATGCCTGCTCCCCCTGGCCTTAAAGGGCTCTCAGCCTAACCCGTCTCCTTACCATTTTCTCTGAGAGCCTGCCTCTTTTTCCTTTCTTTCACGCCCAAGAGAGATGCACAGGGGCCCAGTGAGATGTCCCCGGAGCAGAGAAGTCAGGGTCCCTAGGGCACAGGCATGGGGGTCCCCGGTGCTCACCTGTTGAGGTCCCGCATCATGTAGCCCTGCATCTCGGCCGACGGGCCCCGAAGCACCACAGGCTGAGGCCGGGGCCGCTCGCTCTGACGGCTCGGCTGCCTTTGGATGTTGGGGTTCCTCAGAGCTGTGCTGATGTCGTTGAGGAGCCGGGGCAGTGGGCCCAGCTTCAGGAGGGCTTCCTGGAAGGGTGAGGCTGTTACCTGAGTGCAGAGCTCTAAGAGGGCCCCAGAGGGTACGGGGGGAAGGGTGTCCGAACTGGGGGAGTGGTAGAGACGGGGTGGGGACAGGGAGGGGAGAAAAATCTGTGCGAGGGGTGGTCTCTCAGGCCACTGGAGCCTCTGGAAACACCTGGGGAGGGGGCAGATGGGCATCTGCTGACCTTACTGAGCTGAGGCAGCACCTCCCAGAGCAGGGCATGGAGTGTGGAGAGCTCTCGGCCCAAGTCGATGTAACCCTCAAAGCTACTACTGTTGGTCAGCGTGTCCAGGTTGGAGATCTCATACAGGAACTGCTGCATGGAACCCCACTCCAGCTCCAGAAACTCATTCATGAATCCCAGAAAGTCCTCCTTTGAGGTAAACCTGGCCAAGGTGTCCAGAAGGTAGAGGTCACGCACACAGAAGGCCTCACGCCCACCCGTCTGAGGGTCTCTGGGGACTCGGGAGACCCTTCCTGGCCACCCCCAGCCCCACCCTACCCCTGCCTGAGGCTTCCCTCACTTGGAAAAGTTGGCCAAGTTTTGGATGACCTTGGCGATGAGGGTTAGGGTTCGTGAGGTCTGCTCATCTGGGTACTCCTGCATGAGCCCAAAGAGACTGGGCGACATAATGGCTGGACAGAGGAAGCGCAAGAAGAGCGAGGCGCTGATCAGCCTGTCAGCGATGTCCTCCCGGCCCCGCTCTGCGCAGCGCAGTCGCCAAGATGCAAACACCTCCTTCAGCTCCCTCGGGAACACGCTGAGGGGAAGGGGTGGGGAGACAGAGAGAGAGAGAGAGAAAGAGAGAGACCGGGACTGAGCCCCAGAGACCCTCAGCTTCCAGGAAACATGCTGAGGGGGGTGGTAGGAGGTGAGGGTGTGGAAACAGAGTCAGGGAGAGACAGGGAGGGAGGGACTGCAGCAGGAAGACGGAAGGCTGCTGGAAGAAGAGGCCTATGGGAGAGGGAACAGACAGATCGGGGAGAGAGAAATGGAGGGGGAGAGAAGGTGAGGGGAGAGAGACATGCGGGAGAGAGACGGAGGATGTATGAGAGAGACAAGGAGAGGAGTAGAAGAAAAACAGACACCAGGGAGAGACAGAGATGGGAGAGAGATGGAGGGTCACTTGAGGTACAGGGAGCTCGGACCCCCCAACTCTTCTGGATTCCAGGGAAATGGGGATGGAGGTGCCCCTGCGTGATCCCCACTCCCTGCGATGGCTCAGCGCTCACTCCCCCACCTCCCCGTTCCACTTCAGCATCCCATTGACACCTTAAACTCTGACTCGTGTAGTGTAAAACAGAGCTCACCATCGCCCCCACACCTCTGAGCTCCTCCTCCTGACTTCCCTGGGTTCTGTCAATGAGGCCACAGGTCTCAAACACCAGCCTCATGGCCTCTCGAGTCATCCATGACTCCCCAAAGACAAGTTCCCTTCCCAGTCAGTTGACAACTCCAGCTGATCCCTTCCTCAGAGGGGCCTTCACAGCAGGCCCTTTTCTCCCCTCCCTGCCACCATCCTGATCCATATCTCACCCAAAAACAATCACCTCCAGCTAGCCTGCACCATGCTCTCCCTACTCGTCACGCCCTGCACTCTACACCACTTAAGGATTAATCTTCTTGATTGTGATACTTCTTGGCACTAGCACCACTAATGGCATCCCATGACCCACCGGTGAACTCAGTCTCCTTAGCCTGACAGCTGAGGACTTCCAGATTCTAACTCCAACCCCCCTGTCCGGACCTCTCTCCTCCTTCCACTCTCCACTAGGAGCCGCGGGCTCCACGAAACCTGAGCTAACTACTGACCCCCAAAAGCTCCCGGGCCGCTCACCTTCACTCATGTGCCCGTCCCACAGCCTTCTCCTGCAATGTCTCCTTTGCCCACCATATCCATGTATCAGAACCCAACCCAGTCTTCAAAGCCCAGCCCCAGGGACATTTCCTCCATGAAGCCTTCCCTGCTTGTCCCCATCAAAGCTCTGCCTTCTCTGACCTTACGTTTCCTGGGGGAAGCTTCACTTGACACTTCACACCTACTACAACTGTTCTGTGGCCTTCTGTGCATCTACTCCGTCCCTACTCATTCCGGGTGATGCCCTCTCAGGGCAGGGCCAAGCCTCAATCCTGTCTGTCTGCCTCACAGCCCCCAGCACACTGCTCTGCCCATACCCAGTACTCAATCTTCTTTGCGGATGGACAGATGGATGAACAGATGAACAAACGACCCCGGCCCCGGCCCCCACCCAGCGTTCCCAGTCTCACCAGTGGGAGTTGACCACCTTGCACAGGGCCAACTCACAGCACATCCGCAGGTTGGCCTGGTGCTCCGCCAGGCTAGACGCCGTGCATTTGATGGGGTCCACCTCGCAGTTCTCCTCAGACTCATACAGAGCACGGATGAACTCCCCTGGGGTGGGGGCACAACACAGGGTGGTCACACTTGCCAAGGGCAGGGATGGGGGCTGCCTGGGTTGGAGAATCGTGGAATCCCATGGCTGGAGGCCAGAGGCCAGGGACTCGAGGCTGGGAAGCATCAAGCTGAGGAAGGGTGACCTTGGGTCTGGAGTAGCCAGGTTTAGGGTTGGGATGGACATCTGGTAAGTTTGGGAGGAGGGAGACCGGAGGGTGGGCCATACCAATGGCATCCTTGAGGTATTTCTGACCAATCAGTCTCATGTACTCTTCTATGGCTTTAGTGGCGAGCGTGTTCTCGCGGAATATGAGGTGCTCCCGTTCCATGAACCGGTCCACCTCAGACATGGCCATGTCTGAAAGGAAGTCCTGAGGCCCGGGAAAATCCAAGGGTTGGCCTCTGTCCAACCCAAGCTCATTCCGAAGACAAAGTGCCCTATCCTTACTATCCACCCCACCCCCGGCCCCCAGCAAGTGCCCACTGCTGGGTCACCTGTTCCTGAGGTCATAGTGCTCACCTTGGCCTTGCCCGTACTCTGCAGAATGTGAACCAGTGCACTGGCCACCTCCTCCTTGCCCTTGACATTCAGGGCGGGCTCCAGCACCGCACACAGCATCCGGTAATGGTTGGTGACGTACTCTGCAAACTCCTTATACAGCTCCATGGGCAGGATACTCATGGTCTGGTAACGCGCCTTCAGCCGCACAGCCGGGCAGCCTCCTTTGCCCTTGCCCCCAGAGCCACTCCCCGAGCCCCCACCCCCTCCTGAGCCCCCCATGCCCCCAGAGCCCCCGCTGCCCGTCGGCAGGGTGACGGGGTACCACTGCTCTGTGAAGTGGCGCCCAGCAAGGGTGGCCACGGGCACAGTCACCAGGCCGACATAGCCCGCTTTGTCCTTCTTGCGCTTTTTGTCTGAGTCACGGTACAGATGGAGCCGCAGGGCGCGGACAGCCGGCAGGTTGTTGAACTCGAAGTGCTCGCCCCAGAAGACGGTGTCCCCCGAGGCCGAGCGGGGCTTGGAGGTGGTACGCGCATACAGCATGTCGTCCAGGCACAGCTCGCAGTAGTACCGCTTTTTGGGGGGCAGCTCCCGAGCCTCTATGATCCACAGCTTCAACACATTGTCCACCCGGCGGCTGTTGTCCTAGGGGAGTAGGGTGGGCCCGGCGGATAACAGGGAAGGGAGAGAGAGACAGAGACGCCAAAAGGGGAGAGGCAGTGAGACAACGCGACAGGATCTCTAAGACGGCAGTCAGAAGGCTGAGAAGATGTGTGTACTGTGTTGAACAGTGTACCCCCCTCAAAATTCGTGTCCACTTGGAACCTATGAATGTGGCCTTCACTGAGGAAAGGGTCCTTGCTGATCTACTCATATCAAGTCGTATCCACTCTGGATTAGTGTGGACCCTAAATCCAATGGCTCATTTCTGTATGCAGGGGGGATTTAGAGACCTGGCACACAGAGGCAGAAATTGGACAGATGCAGCTACAAGTCAAAGAGCTACCAAGATGCTAGGAAGAAAAAATGAGAAAAACAAAAAGAGGCAGGGAAGGGTTCTTCCTAGAGCTTCAGAGGGACCAGGGTTTTGCCAGCACCTTCTTTTTGGACTTTTGGTCTTCTAAACTTTGAAAGAATAAAGTTCTTTCATTTTAAGTGACCTAATTTGCAGTAATTTGTTACTGCGGCCCTGGACAACTAGTACAGCAAGGGGCTCCTACATCAGACAACAGAATCAGCCTTGGGAAAAGTTTCAAAAGCTCAAAGAATAGACCAAAAATAGTAAGGTGGAATTTGAAGGGGTGAACTGGGGAGTCCCCCCAAAACAATCAGGGATTGACTACAAAAACAAACAAAAAAGTGAGTTACATAAACACGGGATGGGCAAGGCTATGTGCGGAGTCAGTGCGAAAGGGCCCGGGGATGCATAGGACCACAAGGTCTTGGTCAAGCTCAGGGGAGGCTGCTGCACGAACAGAACTCGGTGTTCCGACTCCGCATGGGTCAGACTGCACCCAGCCTCTTGGGTCTAGTTATGGACAATGAAAAACAAGGGATTTCCCCAGAAGAGGGCTGCCAGGACTATGAGCTCACTGGAGCCTGGGATCCGAGAAGAGCTCATGGAACTGGGAGCATTTCTCCTGGGAGATAGAAGCTTTGGGAAGAACCCAGACTTGTAGAATCTCTGAGCCAAAAGGACTTTAGAGATCATCTAATTGTCATATAAACCCCATTCCCACCAGCTTTATGGAGAGGAAACTAAGGTCTAGAGGCTTGGCTAACTGACAACTCTGAGTCTCCCAGAAACATGGCAAGCAGGGTCTAGGTGTCCAGCTGTCAGGGTACTGGTGGGCACTGCTTGCCTCCAGGAAAGATGGATCAACACGATAAGTCTATGACTTCTACGGTAATAGACCCTGAGGCAGAAAGAATGGCAAAAGAAATGGGGACTCAGAGAAATGTGGGGTCACCTCCTGCTCATCCAGGTCCCCTCTTCCCCAAGCCCCACTTCCCTTTAGCTCACCTTGCCCTCTAGGCCCCCTGCTTCCCCTGTGGTTTGACCTTTGCCTTGCCCATGCTGTCTGTGTCTCCTTTACTCCCAATACCTTGTTGGGTTTCACTGCCCGTTGTAGATTCTCGATCCATTTGTCCCTTTCGGCCGCAGAACGACACGCAAAACATTTTGTTCCTGAAGACGTTGTTACCTAAAGAGGGGTGGCGGGTTGAGATGGGGATCCAGAGGGGAGGTGACTCCTAAGCACCCAAGACCCCATCACCATGTCTTCCTCCCTTACCTACCATCCTCTCTCCCAGCCCCAGAAGTTTCTGTTTCCTTACCATCCCCACCTGTGCCACTTTCTCCAGGCCTCTGTGCCCTCACCCTCCATCACTCCTGCCCTCTCCAGCCCCCTAGACTCAGTACCTCAAAACAGAACTCCTGGCCCAGGATGGAACTATGCACTGGCTTGATAATGGAATCTTCATCCAGGTTGAGCTCCAAGGCCTCGGCTGCACTGCTAGGGCTCAGCAAGGACTCATGCGAGTGTGACTCCTTGAAGCTCTGCATCAGCCGGGCCCTGGCAGGGAAGGGTCAGACCACAGGATCAGGGCCTCACTCTTCTGACACACCCAGGGGCCAGCTCTAGGATAGAGACCTATCCTAGGTGAAAGAGCCTCCTGAACCCCCTTCCCATATGGACAGGGACAGAAAGAAAGCTGGCCTATCCTTGGGGAAGGACACGAGCAAAGTGAGAGAAGCCAGGACCCTTTAAGAATCCCCTACCCCCCCCCCAATTCACACCTAAGGGGTTGTGAGGACTGGGGACACCTGGAAATATCTCAACCCAGAAATAGACCATGGTAGGGGAAAAAAAAGAGAGAGAGAGAGAGAGAACAGGTGGGCCTGGGGCACTTCCAGGTGGGACTTCAAGCTGAAACCAGAGCCTCAATATAAGGGGGAAAAAGTGGAAGTAAAGAACCAGAAGTACAAAGAAGATATTTGTTTGGGCCTGGCACACAGCTAGTACCTAAGAAACATTAAATGATTCGAAGAATGAATGAATGCAAGAAGAGGACAAGTTTTAGCACAATCAGGAAAAAGAGGGGGATAAATCACAAGAAATAGGAGAAAGCTGTGGGCAGAGAAGTGCGAAGGAAAAGCTGGAAAATGGGGCCTGGGAAAGAAGGGGAGGTAGGGCGGGAGGGAGCAGGTGGAGGCAAAGCCACGTGCAGAAGGAGAGCGGATGGGAGAATGGGGAGGAGCAGCCGGAAAGAGGGGCGTGGGAACAGAGATGGGGGGACAAGCAGGGACTGCACTAGACAGCAGAAGGTAAAGGGGGCTGAGGGAATGGATGCCGGGCTACACAATACAGAGGGATAAGATAGTGAGCGGCTGGGAGATGGCTAGGGGAGGAAGAGTGGAGAGCAGGAGGAAAGCAGGAGGGGGAGCTCGGGTGTGGGAGCCTCCATGAAGCTATTTATAGCAGCCCCGTCATCTTGGGCTCCTTTGCCGTCAGCGCGACGCTCCCCCGGCCCCCCGCCCCCGCGGCCAGGAATACCATGCCCTCACCCCCCCCAGGCCCAAATCCAGCTCTGGTGACATGGGAGGGGGGCAGGGGACGGTGTGACTCACCTATCCCAACCTCCCTACCTGCCCAATCCTGGGGGCGGCCAGACATGGGGGAAAAGGAAGGACTCTCCCTAGGGAGTGATTGGGTGAGGGGAAACCCAAAGAGGGACCCCAAGAAGCAGACAACAGAAGCGAATATCAGATCTCCTGCAACCCCAGCCTCAGAGACAGTACCGTCAGAAATTCTCTGAGGGCTTCTTCCTCGCACTTCAATCCATGATTAACCCTAAAGCTTCCCCTCCCTGTTTTGTCCACCTGTGTAGCTGTGCCAGCCTCCCCTTCCCTCATGCTCCCCTTCCCTCGTCCATTGGTATCTGCCAACCCCAGCCCCACTCCAAGCAGCTGCCATGCCCTCACACCCTTCTCCCTAGGTCACATTGCTCCCTCTCCTACCAACCCACTGCCCCCTTCCCTGGATTCCTTCATTGTTCTTTCCAGGCTCCACTACTCCTTCTCTGTCCTATACAGCTCCTTCAATCCTGGGCTGGAGCCCATCCTTCTGTTGGCCACAAGAGTCCCTCCTTGGCCTCACCTTCATTCCCCTTCCTGCCTCTCTGCTTGTCCTCTCCCTATCCCCTGCCCCTCTCTTGCTGCTGCCTCTTCTCCATTCTGTCCCCTGGCCCAAAGCCTCCCTCAGCCAATCCAGGGCCTTCACTCTCTGCACCCAGACAAGCCCCTTCCCTCCAATCTCACCCAAGGACCCCCTGTCTTGCATCCAACTCACCCCACTCACCCCATCCCCCGTACCTGTCATGGTCAGCACTTCGGAAGCGAGGCAGGATCTGGCGAAAGCTGCTGGTCCGGTCAAGTTTGGGTTGTGACTTCGTGCGTTTGATGGAGCTTTTTAACCTCCGGCTCAGGAAGCCTTGCTGGGGTGGGTTGTAAATGGGGATATGGGTGGGTTGGGGCAGGGTCAGTTCTACCTACTCACCCCTCACCTGGGAAAGAGTCCCTGGATGAAAGTGGGGTGGGAGAAAAGGGAAGCCTCTAGAGGTGAGGAAATGGAGATAGGAACCCTGCTACCAATTTGTCTTCCTTTGCTCCCAACGGGTGCAAGCACTCACACACATGCATGCACACACACACACACACACACACACACACACACACACCAGCTTGGAGAAGGTGGGAGGGCTGGTCTGAGAAACAGGGGGACAGAGCCAAGGAGGGGGAAACCAAAGAGGTGGGGAGAGGCAAGTGCGTGCTCTCTCTCTCTCCTGCCCCCTTTCTCAGAATGCTGGGACTCCAGCTGGGGCTGGAGGGGAGGGGGCCCAGCTGAGCCACATCTGGCAGGCGCCTTCACTCACCGAGGGCCGGAAGGGCGCAGCGGGGGCGGCCTCCATGCTGTACTGCTTCCCCCCTGGGACGCTCTTCCTCCTCGAGCGACCCAAGTGGTATTCTGGAGAGGGGAAAAGAGCCAGAAGGGAGGTTGGGAGGGGTCGTTGTTAGCCCAGGTGTCCACTTCTGACCCCAGCCCATTCGCCCACCTCCCTCTGCCCCTCAGCTCCAGCCTCACCTACCCCCCGGAAAGCAGCAGGAAGAGCAGCGGCGGCTGAGAGGCTGGCGGCGGGAAGGAGGGGGTAAAGAACCCGAGCCGGAGCCCCCCGAGGGGGACGGGGTGGGAGGCCTTAGGCCCATGACTGGGACTGGCAGTCAGCAGAAGGGCATGGCTGAGAGGGTCAGTAAAACCCCAGTGGTAGAAGGACACCAAAGATCCACGGAAGCTAGGTCCTTGGTGCCCACCCCCCCAGGAAGGGGCTAGCTGGGGGGGGAAGTTGGGTTAAAGGTCATTGCCCATAGGCAGGCTTTCCTCTCCCCTCAGCTGGGCACATCTTTCACCTGCTCCCCTCTCCTGGAATCCCTGTCCGTCTGAAGAGCCAGGGCTGCCTCCCATGACCCCCTCCCTGGTCTGGAGGGGGAAGTCTTAGAAGAGACCTGTGAGGAGTGGCAGGGGAAAAAGCCTGGGGACAGAAAATCCAAGGAAGGGGCAGATGGGGGGGGAGGGGAGAAGGGGCCGGTTCCACGTGCACTGCAGTGGCTGGGACTCAGAAGGGAAGGAGGGGGTAGAGGAAAGAGAAGAATGCAGGAGAGTGGGGGAGTGGGCAGAGAGCGGGGAGGATGAGCAGTGGAGGTTCAGGGGACTCCCAAGTGAGGGTAGGGAGAGGAGGAGGAGGGGAGGAGAATGCGGATGAAGGCCGGACTGCCAAGAGTCTAGAGGGGTGGCAGCTCGAGGAGGGAAGCTGAGGCTCTGCTGCCAGGGAATTGAGAGGGGCAAAGGGGCTAGAGGAGAATGAAAGTGGGGGGATGCCAAGCTCCGGCTCCAGCTCCAGAATGGCTGCCCAGGCCTGGGCTCCCCCCTCAGCCCCACAGTCACCACTGCAGCCAATGGGGGGGCAGGTGCTGCATCAGGGGCGGGGCTACCATCTCCACGGCAACAAGAAGCTACAGACTGGGAGGGGGGGGACCGGAAGAGCTGCCTGTTAACTCTCTAAGTTCCGGAACAAGGGAGGACCACAGCTACATTTTCACTGTCTGCTTCCAGAATTGCAAATCGCCAGCAACTTGCCCTAGAATCAGTCTCCAGCTTCCCTTTGCTTCTAAAACCCAGGTGTTAGAAGGTCTGTCTACAGAAATGTGGGCTCCATAACACAGGAACCCTTGCCAGACCCTTAGGAACAGTGTGTAGAGCACAGAAACATACACTGAACTGTAGGAGTACGTGTATATAACCACAGTACAAAAAATAGGGATCTAGGTGCTTATGAGACATATAGACAACTGTGAGCACGGGCGTGCCACAGATCCACATTCTGAGACCTTGAGGCCCACATACCCCACGGGATACATGCTTAGACATATGTGAACACTGCAACAGGAGAGTACACATTTTGACCCAGACACCCACATGAGAGCTGCTGGTGTGGACATGTGGCCCCAGTCCCTTGGGCAATCATGTGGGCAGCACATTACAGAAATGGACAGTTAACCCTGACACACACACACACACACACACACACACACACAGGAAGTTGGTTTAACCTCTAAGATACATGCTTGAGTATACTGTGGACCCAACCACAGCAAGGTATCCTGGTACCCCGAAAGCACAAACATCATTCATTCACATGAGAAGTATGACCACATCCACTTCATCTCAGGACAACCCCTTCTTCTCCCCCAGCCCTTGACTGACTCCGACGCAAGCATCCATGATTGCTCTCCAAGGAGGAGAAAATGAGGAGCAAATGCATCAATTACCCATCTAGGACACATTCAACAATGCATCTAAGGGGTCAGGATATCTTTTTCTTAGTCTCTCCATTTCTTCGGTATGGCTGCCTTCACTCCTGTTCCAAAGAAACCAAACTCAGCCGCTACTTCCACATGCAAGCTCCTCTAATAAAGGCACAAAGACTAACTTTAAATCAACTAAAATTTTACTTTGGAGCTACAGAATTAACAGAAAGAGAACAAATTTGTGAACTGGTTTCCTTGGCTCTTGGAAGTAATATAACCTTACACGTTACCAGGAACTAAGACCCATGAACTCACACGTAAGTCACAGGTACGTGGAGGCCACAAACACAAATGCTTACAAAGCCTTTCGCTGCCACAAAAAAGGAAAACATGTAGAAAAAAAGAAAGTGACAGAAACACGGGACATTCTGTTATGAATGCTGCATACAGTGACATGTACAGAAAACATGGCACATACGCGTGTACACACACAGAACAAACCTGGTCAGTGCACCCTGCAATCCTGGGTCTCCATGTCCCATCCCTACACGATGTATACACGCATGCACACACATAACAGCCACCTACACATACCCGTAACACAGGCATTGTGCACACACCCACACATGTACACACCCTGTGTACACACACAATCGCACTCTCACACACACACACAGCAAGGGCTTGGACTCCCGCCTCTTCAACCTCTCTAATCTTGCCATCACCCACAGAATCTCCCCCTGCCCTCCAATTCGCCAAATCCCTAACCTTCCCTTCAGCCTTTCTTCCCTGTCATACCCAGCTGGCAGCTCTAGAGGAGAGCCAAGGAGGGAGGCTGCCAGAGCAGGATGAGGAACAGAGTTGGACAGAGCAGAGAAATGGGGGGCAAAACTCTGTGCTGGGGACAGGAAGCTCTACTGACAGTCCCTGCGGTGACAGGCCCCACCATGAGCCAGGCTCCATGCCTGAGGGGCCATCCCTCATCCAACTAAGCCTGATCCTACAGCCTACATGAACCAGTGGCCTCTCTCATCTTGCCCCTTACTTCTCTCCAACAGCTTTACTCACAGGCCTCTCTGCTCTCCCCACTCCTCCTCCCCAGCTTCCAGACCCTTTCTCCCTCCATCCCCATCCAGTTCCCCATGTTAAGCTCTCTTATCCTCTTTTTTCCTCAGTCTGGCTCAAACATCTCCCACATTCCCATTCTCCAGTTATCCCTTTTCTCCTAGTGAAACCTCCCTCATTCCTCTTCACCTCCTTTCTCCCCACTTTTCCACTTTCTCTCCACTCCTTTCCTTTTCACCTTTTCTGTCCCCACTCCCAGACAGAGCAGGGGCTCACACCTGCCCACCCCAAAGGTGTTTCACATATAGTAGGGTTCCAAGAAGCCCACTTACGCACTCCCTTCCCCCACTTGCACACCACCCACATCCAGACACGCCCTGGACACCCGTGCTGGGATTGACACAGATACCCAGGCCAATGATGGAACACATGCAAAGACACACACCTGCCACCAGGGCAGAGAAAATCTTGCTCAGGCTGCCACACATCCCTAGACACAGGAGACTGCCTGGAGGTGAGCTCCAGCCAGGGACATGCAAGCTCAGGGTCAGAGGTGACATGTACCAGTATGGCCAGTGGATGGCCCAGCAGCCTCCTAGGCAGGAACCGGACAGAGGCACGATGAGAGAGGACAGGCTTGCACACGGCTGGGTGCACATGTGTGCATGAGGAACTGGGCCCCGGGTACACATGGCATCGACACACGGGGGACAGGAGCATGGACACGAACACATACACAGACACACGGGCTGCTGTCTCCACCAAGGAGCTCCGAGACACCCCACACCGGCCTCCCCCGCGAGCTCGCGACCCTGGCCCCCCGGAGGCCGGTCCCCGACCCCCCACCTCCGCTGCCCCCCTCCAGTTACCATAACTCCCCCCACTCGGAAGATGCAGCGAGAACATGCGGAGGGAGCAGCTGCCGCCGCCGCCGCCGCCGCCGCCGCGGCTTCCCCACCCCCTTCCCCGCGCCCACGCACACGCGCGCCCCCGCCCCCACGCGCGCTCTTCGTCCGCCCGGCCCCGCCCTTACCTCGCACCGCCCCCTGGGGGGGGTCGGGGGTGTCCCCGGTGGGGGAGGGGCCCCGCCCCTGCGCGGGGGAGGGGCGGGGTGCGGCGGGAGAGGGGGCGGCGCGGCCCGGCTCGCGCCGCCCGGCGCGTTGGGGGCGGCGGCGGGGCCCGGGACGGCCGGCCGCGCGGTGACGGCCGCGGGAACGGCTTCCTCCGCCGCCGCTCCCGCCGCTGCCGCCGTTGCCCGGGCCCCGCCGCCGTTGCTAGGCGACCGCTGCTGCCGTGGCCGCCTCTGTCACGAGCCCCGTCGCCCGGAGACAGCGCGAGAGAAACGGGGGAGGGGGGCAAGGGGACCCCCAAAACCAACCGGGCCTCCCACCATCTCCTCCCGAGCAGGACCCCCCACCAAAACCGCGGAGGAAGCGAGGGGCGGCGGCTCCACCCAGCAGAGGAGGAGCCCTGGATTCCAATGCCCCTCAAAGGTCCGGCGACCTCTCCTGGGCTCCAGCGTCCACAGCTTCAGCACATACCTTCGCGGACCCAGGCCCCCAAGCCCCTAAAGATCCCCGTGTCCATGCATATCCTCTATGCCCTTTACAGATTCCATGTCCCCCTGAAAATCCCAGACGTTCACCAGCTATCATCAACTCTTCACTAGACCCTCCCCCCAACTAGATATACTCCAGGACCCTCTTCTAACCCCTACTGAACCTTCAACACGACGACCTCCACATATCATCCCCAACTCCAAACAAACACGGATGCCCCCACCCAAAATACACCGGAGACTCACACCAGAGACCCCAGACCCCAAGGACTCAGGATGAGGAGAAACATGGGGATTATGTGGGCAGAGGTATCAACCACCCGACATATGATAAACATGCTCCGTGAGCATGTGACCATTCTGGCCTGGACACACAGGTATGCACACGTGCACACACACAAATCTTTCCCAGACATGAACATGACACACACACACGCACACACACAGATGTGACAGACATCACACACATTCTCTGTACACACCATCACCACCACCTGGCTTTGCCTCATAGAAATGTGCTCTCCACACCCCCCACCCCATGGTCAGAGGTTTCCATGACAACGACACACATCCCAACCCACCCACCTACCAACCCAGGGTCCCAGAGCTGGCCCCCAAGGGCAGTGAGACCTGCGCCTATCAGAAGAGGGCTATATATAGGGAGCTAAGGGATGGAGACAGGACACTGGATCTCTTTGAGGAAGAGAAACTGGGAGCCTGGATCCCTAAGGGAAGGGGCTGCTGGTGGAAGAAAGGGTCACCAGGGGTTGGGGGGATGGAGGAACTGGATCCCTAGTCCTGGAAGGGAAATGCAGTGGTAGGGGGCAGTGATAAGGGGTTTCTGGGGGCTGAGGGCGTCTCTCTGCACCTTGGCTGCAGATCTCTGTTCTCTGCCTTCATCTCCCCTCACTGTTCCCATGGAAACCTTTTAAGCGAACTTCTCAGGAAGACAAAAATCTTTTTTTAAATGACTAAAGAGGGGGGTGGAGGGGGGGCAGAAAGAGGGAGGAAGGGGAAGAGACAGATGGAGAGAGGGAGAGAGTTGGAGAGACAGACTGAGCAGATAGCTCTACAGACAGAAAGGAGATGATGGGGGTCTGATGAAGTTCCACCGGGAGCAGAGGGGAGCGACAGAGGAATCAAGAGGGATGGGGAAAATAAGAGAAATCGGGAGAGAAAAGAGAAAGGGGGTGACATTACTGCAGAAAATAGAAGCAGTTAAAAAGAAGAGAAAAGGGGGCAAGAAAAGAGGGAGGGCCCACAGGCCAGAAGGTCTGGAAGAGGAATCAGGAGCGTGGGGGTGGGGCAGAAGTCTGGGGGGGAGGGCAGGAACTAGGTCGTTCTCTCCACGATCCCAGACCAAGGGCTGGGAGGGGCAGGGGCAGGAGCGCTCGGACAGGAAGCTAAATATCTAAGGAGACTATTTTTACAAGCACCAGGAAAACAGGCAAACTTCGCTGCTGGAGAGCAAAAAGGGAGCGAAACACAGCAAAGACCACTGGGGCCTCTCACCCACAGCCCCAGTTCCGCTCCAGATCCCAGAGGAGGGCGCCTTCTCCTTCCAGGCTCCCACTCGCAGGATGAGAGACCGTGTCTCCTCCTCCTCCCACCCCCTGACAGCTCCCTCATTTCCCCGACTCCCCCCTCCCTTGCAGTCCCGTCCACCTTCAGCCCTCTCCCCGTCACTGTCCGGGGCACGAGAGCCTGCTCGGCCGCCGTACCATGCTCGCCGTGGGGCCGCCCCTCCACCGGCACGGAGACCGTGCGTCTCAGCAGTTTGTTGCGACTGGACTCGCTCCGCCGGTCCCGGATCAGAAGGGGGTGTATCTAGGGGATGCGGGGGTGTGTCAGACCTCACCGGCCCAGGCCGTCCCTCCTCTTTCCCTCCCCCACCACGGAAGGATGAACCTCCCTCTCCACTGGGCCTGCCCACCTTCGGCCCCTGCTCCTGCACGCTCTTTAAGCGTCTCGGGATGAGTCGGTTTCTCTTTCCCCTCTCTCTCCAAGTCTCTCTCCCTCCTTTCCCTCCCGTCCCATCCTCCTCTTTCCTCCCTTCATTTCTTTTGAAACACCCTCCGGGAAATTCTCCCAAACCCGACTCAGCTCTTCCCGCAACCCCGCAGGAGTCTGCTACTCTGGTAATCCCCTGTCCCCTTGACCTTCAGTTCCTCCATTCTCCCCGCTTTCCTCCCAACCTCCCACCTCCCTCACCACCTTCCCTCCCTCCGTGCCTGTCACGGGGGTAGCAGAAGCTGCATTTATAATCAGGATCTACAGCTTGTCTCCCTCCCACGGCCCGGCTTTCGGCCAGACTGGGACCCAACCTCCCCGCCCTGCTCAAAGGGCCTGGTCACCTTCCCCCACCCTTCATCTCCTTCCCTTGGCCCCTGCTCAACCTCTTTCACTTGCCTCCTTCTCTTGAGCCATTCCCTCTTCCTGAGCCTCATCCCCAGCTCCAATCTTCCCCACCCCTACAAGAACCACCCCACCTTGCTAGTCCCTAGCTCCAGGTCCACAATCCACCTACTTCCAGCCCCCTGTGGCCCTACACACTGCTCACCTGTCCATCCCCTCCCACACCCTTCCCACTCCAGACTCTAGCCACTCAGTTGCCCCTCAGCTTGCTGGCCACCTCCCCTGGACTTTTGTCCAGCTCTGTCATTCCTTTATTATCCCACCCTCTCAATCCTCACAACAGTCCCCACTCTTATTGGTTCCAGTTCCCCTAACTGATCCTACAGTCCCCAACCTAGTCAAGACTGGTGGCCACTAGTAAATCACTCAAATGGCCAATGCCTAAAACTTGGACTCCCAAAACACCTTTTCCTTTAAAGTCATCATGTCCTCCCCTAGACACCTGGATTTCACTCTGTGACCTGGAAACTCTAGCCAGCTTCTCCACACTCTCCCTTGACCCTCAGGTCCCTCCAGACCCTGGTTAACCCCAACCAGTTCTAGCCCTGCCGCACCACACCCTCCCCAACAGTGTCAGGAACACCTCTCACCACCTCACTGGTCTCCAAGGCTACCTATCACTCTCTAAAGCTGGTCCCCCAAATCCCCCCCACTCGCTGAAGCACACCTCTGGGCCTCTACCTTTCATATCTGTACCCACTGTTTCTTCTGATGGGTCCTCCACTGCTGATCCCGTGACCAGTTAGAACCCATACTCTCTTGGCTCTAATGGCCCTGCTTGGTCCCCACCTCCCACACACTGGCTAGTCCCTGTCCCTCTCCCACTCCTACTGCTTTAGAAAATGTCCCCTACTCTCAGTTCCCCTCATTCCCCAGGCATCTCCTTCCTTGTTTTTTTCCTGGTTGATGTCCTTCGTGAAAGCTCTCCTGGTCTCTCCAAACCCTGACCTTGGGCACCTTCCCAGTCTTCATCACCATCCACACCAAGATCCACTGACTTCTGTCATCTCTCCTAGGACCTTCTGGCCCTTTCCTGGTCCTGGTTTCCCTCAGTTCCCACTCACGATAGGGGCAGGCCTGGGAGTGATGAGTGATGGGTGTTGCTGGCATGGGGGAAGAACAGGAGAGGGTTCCCGAGGACCACTTGGGAGGTGATCCCTCCAAATCAATGCCCATTTCCTGCCATCCCTTCTCCAAGCCCTTCAGTTTCCCTTTCCCATCCTAACCTATCCCACAATATGGGCAGGACCACAACAGGAGCCACCCCCAAGTCTTCAGAACCACATCTCCTCCCCAACACTGTATGGGCCCAGAAAGATCCCCCAGCGAAGGTGACAGAATGTTTACCCTTTTGCACACCCCAACCCAAACCTCAATGGCCACCCTCCTCAGACCACTTGCAAGTGTTTCTCTCTCCTTTGCCTTCTCTGTGCCTCTCACCCCTTCACTAATGAGGATTCTCCTCATCTTTCTTTCCACATTCTCCCATGCTACCCAGAAGTCTCCCCAACCTTCCCACTCTGCTCACCTCGTCCTCATCCAGCATGAGAAGCTGGTTCCCCGAGATGATGCAGAACCGTGGGTTCCAACCAGGACGATCATATGGGGAATGAACGTATTGGGTTCGGTGCATAGGGGGTCCCCGTACATCTGGGGGGGACAGAGACACACAGAAATGGTAAGGGAGGTTCTATGCACTTAGGAGACAGAGGCCCAAAATGGCAAGAAGAGAGTCCACAAAGTAAGAGAATAAGACCCCACCCGCCTTGGAGATCACAGATTGGAGTGAGGCACATGGTAACTTATTTAAAGGAACAGAAGACAAGCCTATATATCTGGGAGGAGAGAGGGGAGGGGAAATCACATCACATGGGGGCTCTGTAGACTGCAGGAAAAAAATATAGAGGGGCGGTTCAGGGAGGGGGATTATATCATGACAGAAAGGGTACACATTCAGAGGCAGAGAAAGGTGGTGGTGCTCTCCACATCCAAAAAATGAAAAGATGGAGGGTGCAGCAGAACTGGCAGAAGAGAAGCACACAGAATGGTGGTGGCAGGGGGCCTGGGAAGAGGGAGGGCACCCAAAAAACCACAGAAGACAAGGACTTGGAGGGAAGGTGGCTCCCCCAGCTATAAGAGAGTGAGAGGAGAAAGCTACATAGCTGTGGGAAAGAAGAATGGGGCCAGGGGTATAGGAACATTTGGGCATGAAATTCTGAAAGCTAAACATCTGGAAAAGAGAAGATGTGAGGGAGCTTACCAGTTCACAAAGTCCGGGACAGGAGAGGGCCTCTCCTCCCGCCTCTCCTCTATTCTCAGCTCCCTCCTCCTCTAGCCCAGCCCTGCTCAACTCTGGGAAAATTCTGGTTCTTCTGGTGGTAGGGAGAGGATAGGTCTTGCCAACATCTGGTTTTGGGAGGGGCTAGAGAGTGAGGAGGCAGGAAACATGCCTTTGTTTGAATGAACAGAGATTGAACTGATCTCTTTTCCCACTCCATACCCAGAGATCAAAGATTCCATAACGACCCCTTACTTCCCGTAGTCTCCAAGGACAGGATGGAAGCCAACTCCACCGGTGAGGAAACTCTCCAAGGTACAGTGAGGAGCTTGAGGAAGAAATGGGGAAGGAAGAATGGAAGATCCAGGCCTGGGACAGAGAGGGGGCCTCCCAAAATTTCAAGCTGGGGGTGGGGACAAAGAGTAGACCAAGCATTGCCCATACTAGGAGATGCCCCCAGGGGCATCTTACCCAACTTAGCTGTTCTTCCCTCACCCTTATCTCTGCACTGTCTCTCCTTTAAATCCCAATGCCACACACCATCAAAGGGACACAGGGAAGAGGCACTATGGAAGTAAGAAAGAAATCAAATTGGTGACCTCGAAGTGAGAGAAAATAGGTTTAAGGTACCGCCCTAAGAATTTAGAGGAAGAAAAATCAAATTCTGTCACCTTTACAAGAAAATTCATCATGGGTATCATGAAGGAAAAGAATTGGTCATTAAGCTCCATTCTAACTGATTACCTGAGTAGAAAAGTTTTTGAAAAATCTAGCCCCTTTCTGTCTACAAACATGTTCTTCAAATTTACCCAACCTGCAGATCAGAGTCAGAGATGAACCCCTAGAATACATTTATTTAGAAATCCCAATACTTTGAGACTTTCACTATCTCAAAGCCATCTCAGAGAGTCTATCCGAAACCCTCTAGATACAGAGATCACCAGTCCCTAGGCTCTGAGGCTGCACACGCTGCAGGCAACGCGCCTGCTGCACTCAGGCTCTGAGGACTCCCAGAGGAGAAAGCCGTGAATCCATACGATCATTCTGGGAGGGGCTGGTTCAGGCTGCAGCCACAGGGTGGCAGGTTAGAGGTCAGGGGACACCTTCCTCCTGGGAGCAGGGAAGGCCCCAGGGAACTCAGCTTAGAAGCAACTCTGGAAACACCCCCCCCCCAATACACACACTGTCTAGACTTAAGTAAGGATGATTCCGGGAGGCAGATGCAAGAGACAGACTAACACAGCTGAGAAAAGGGAAAAATTTACTAGGATAAGAAGTCCCACAGGGCTCAGATGAGGAGGTCTTCTAGGTCCTGTTCCAACCATCAAAACCTGCCATCTTTGCACCCAAATCTCCAACACCCCAGGAAGTAGAGGAGATGAGAAAAGAGGACTGGGTGGTAAAGAGCTGAGGTATTAGGGGAAAGTGGGTAGGCACAGACTTGCAGCAACAAGGCAGGGAATGGGGTAGGGATAGAGGATGGGCTGGGGGACAAATCATAGGGACGGATCAAGAGAAAAGAATGGAGAAAGGAGAGTAAATCCCTAGGGACAAGGAAATATAGCAGAAGAGCCCAAGTGGACACGGGGCAGAAGAAATGAGGTATACCTAACAGGGGTACTAGAACAAGGGAGTCATGAAGGACAGGTGAAGAGGTGGTAGAGATATACAGGAGCTACCAGACAGAAGAGAGGGAGAGAGAATGGACCAGAGAAAGGACTAATACAAGAGAAGGACGGAAGGGGGACTCATATAAGGAACGGACACCATATGGGGGGAAAGATATAGGTGATGGACACCAGAGGAGGGAGGGGGAATGGTAATAGGGATTGGAGGTGGGGGAGGGGGTAAAAAGTGGTGAAGTGAAGGGGGCAGATAGGACCCCAGGGGTTGCATTTCACTGGTCAAAGGCCTTAAGGAGGGTCAGAGTCTGGGGCAGGGTCCTAACCTGCCCTCTACTTCCATCACTCAATCTTACTTCTGTTGCCCCCTCCCCGCTCAATAAACACACACATAATTTTGGCCCTCCCCCTGCCCTGGTCTCTCCTCCCCCAGCCCATTCCCTCTCTCCTCTCTTCCCTCCATCTGGACCCTCCATCCCCCCCCACCCCCCACTGCCTCCCTCTCTCTCCATCTGGCCCCTTCTTCTCTCCCTCCATCCTCCTCTCTTTTTCAACCCCCTACCATTCTCTGGGCCCCTTCACCGTATTCTACCTCCATCTTCTTTGCTTCTCCTTTCACCCCTATGTTTTCATTCCCCCCCCAGCCCCTTTCCTAAGACTGTCCGTCTATTTCCTTAATATTTTCCTCATCTCTCAGCTCCCACCTCCAAATTATTTCTGCAGCTCTTCCCCCAAACCTTTCCCTCTATCATCCCACCCCTTCTGGCAATCTCTTTCCCCTTCATCATTTTGCCCTCCGCCCCCTTCTAAGCCTGTTTCCTGGCCCCTCCGGCCCCTATCTACCCCTATCCTCTGGCCTCCAATCCCTCCTTCCCCATTGCTCCCATCCCTGCCTTCCCAGTCCTCCTCTCTCTCCCTCCATTTCAGCTGCTCCCCTCCCTGGCCCCGGCTCTGCTCCCCCCCCCACCCCTGCCCCTCCCCCTCTTGCCCCCCCCAACTGGCCCTCCCCCTCCCCTCCCCACCGTACCTCTGAAGGGGGCATAGGACATCGCGGGGATGCTCCCCCGATGGATGGAGGCGCGAGACCTGCTCATCAGGCCTGGGGGGGAGGGGGCGGGGGGGGGGGACGGGGGAGAAAGAGAAGAGAGAAAGAGGGGGAGAGAGAGGGGGAGAAGGAGGAGGAGGTGGAGGAGGAGGAGGAGGAGAGAGGAGGAGAGAGGAGCGGAGAGGAGCAGAGAGGAGGAGAGAGGAGGAGGAGGAGGAGAATAGGAGCCAACGGCAGCAGCGGCAGCCGGGAGAGAGAGAGAGAGAGAGAGAGAGAGGGGGGCGGGGGAGCGAGCGACAGAAGAGAGAGCAGGAGGAGGAGGAGAGAGAGACTCTGCACCCCCCACCCCTACACAGTGAGAACCAGGGAGAGAGACCCCTGCCTCAAAAACACACCAGAATGAGAGAGTGCAGTTCTGAAGATGTAGACCTCAGATGCTGAGACAGAGAGACCCCAGACCCACAGAGAAAGACGCCTTGCTACCCACCCCCGGGTGGCGGGGGGGTTAATCTGAGGCACAAACTCGAAATCTAGAGGAAAAGAGACCCCAATCTCAGGGAAAAAAAATCCCAGATCCCCTATTGAGAGAAGAAGGGTCAGAGGTCAAAATATGAGTGTCCAGTTTCAAAAGGTTCACCACAGCTACAGAAACCTTAGACTCCAGAATCAGGTGGTGGTTTTCAGGAACAAGATCAGACACCTAGAGTCAAAGAAAAAGGTGAGATCCAGATTCAGAAAAAACCCAGACCTAGAATTAGCTCTTAGAGGACTCAGATCCAGAGAGAGATATCAGACCCCAGACTCATATCTCAGAGAAGAGAAACTGCAGATTCAGAGACTGATAACTCAAGAGATAAACTCCAGACCTGGGGGCTGAGCGTGGGGTGAAGGGAGAGAGGCAGGGACAGACACTCATGCAGCTCAGAGATATAGAATGCAGAGACCCCGAACTCATGAAGAAGAGTCTGAAAGACCTCAGAGAGTGATTGAGTCCCACAAACAGATACTCCCCAAACAAAAAGGAAACTCAGTCCTGAGAAAGATCCACTGCAAATACTGAAAGGCCCTACAGAGATCTAGCTCAGAAACAAACCCAAACCCAAAGACAGATCTCAGGGAGACCCCATCCCCAGAGACACAGGTATGAGAGAACTCTTATAAACGCCCAGTTACGCCCACCAGCAGACTGGAGACCCCAAACATTGAAAGGAGGGGGAATACTGGGGAGGGGGAGTGGCAAGAGCCTTTTCTCTGCTGCCTCCTCCCACCTTTCTCTCCTCTCATTGGCCCCTCTCTCCATTTTTGGGTCACTGGATGTGCTTGGGCCCCAGGGAAGTTATGTAGGACAGGTCCTGGCTCCTAGGGGGATGGGTTAAGGGAAGGAGACCCAAGATTCAGAGGTATACCACTCCTAGAGAATTAAATAGGAGAGGGGTAAGGGACAAAAGGACCATCACTACTTCCTGGAGTCCTCCGTATCTCCAACCTGAAGCCCTCTCTCTCCCCCTCTCCACCCCCCGCCCATTCACCAGTCTGTCTCAACCTTTGGGGGTTTCGGTTAAGAAGGCTGAATTGCCCTCAGCCCCATTTTCATCACTCTCTATCCCATTTGCAGGGTCTCTCTCTGTCCTTTTAAAATGCATCTTTCTTTCCCCACCTAGCCATCGTGTCGCCGTGCCCATCCCTGCCTAACCACTATCCCTTGCCCAGGGACAGCTGGTTTCTCAGATTATCGTTCATTACCCAACCTAGGCATATGTCACTCCTAACCAAAGAGGCAGGGGGCGCTCTCTTCACCCCCTGAGGTTCAATCTTCTCAGACCCTGCCACTCCTTAAGGCCTCGGAAACAGTTTAAGGGTTGTAACTTGGCACATTCTGGGGTTTAAGGATTATCTCCCCACTCCACAACCTGACGCATCGAGTCAGCGGGGTCTCCAGCCCCCCTTTCTAGAGCCAGCTCTCTCATCACGTGGCCTGCGGGACTGGCCTGCGATTGGCCTCTTCGCGCAGCCCATTGAGGGACAGCCGCCTGAGAGAGACCGGCTCCCTCACGTGACAGTGGAACGCCGCAGCGGCTCTCCTCAGCCTGCCATTGGCCGTTTCCGGTTTACACGGAAACGAGCGCGCCATTTCCGTGCACGACTGCAGAACCGTCCGTCGATTGGCCAAATTCCCTTTTGCTCCTCCCCCGAAGGGAGGCGGGGCAAGCTGGGCCACGTGAGGGCCAGGATTGGCTGGCTCTGGAGGTTTGGGTGGGCTTCTACTGTCACGTGGTGTGCCCTGTTTTCTTATCACGTGGGTGCGACCCAGGTAAGAAGAGGCCGCTCTTCCTGGGCTTGGGGTCCCTTCGCGGCGTTACGTGCGGTTGTTGATATTCAACCTTCCTCAACCAGCATAGGCTGCATGAGGGGGGGGCGGGCTCCCGTAATCCTGCTCGGCGGAGGGGTGAGTGACCGGCCCCGCCCCTTCCGGTCCTCGAAGCCTCGACCACCACCCTCACCCCAAATCCTAGAGGTTGGCTCTTGAGGAGGGAGTGGAGACCGAGTCTGCCTTCATTTCTCAAGTTTCTCTCCCAGCTTCAGGGACCTTTTCTTTCGGGGTGCAGAAGAGGGAGGGCAGAGCCTGTCTATCCAAGTGAAGGGTTCCCGAGATGCAATTTCCTCGGGTATTTGTGGGGTGACACCCTGTTCATTTCGTGCTCTCAGGCCGCTCTGCTCCTGTCGCTTCTTTGGATGCCGGCGCTGCTGCCTGTGGCCTCCCGCCTTCTCTTGCTCCCACGAGCTCTGTTGTCCATGGCTTCAGGAAGCCCCCCGTCCCAGCCCCCGCCCGCCTCGAGCTCCGGCTATGTTCCCGGCTCGGTCTCTGCAGCCTTTGTCACCTGCCCCAATGAGAAGGTCGCCAAGGAGATTGCCAGGTGGGGACCTCGGTGTGGAGCGAGGAAGGAGCGAGTTGGGGGTGGGAGAGAAGAGTGCACTCCAGCAGCTTCCTGCTTAACCTCCGGCTTTGGAACCGTGCTTCTGGGCTGCCAGTGCAAAAATCCGGGTCGTGGGGCGTTCTGAATGGGGCTCTCTCTTCTCCTTCAGGGCTGTGGTGGAGAAGCGCCTGGCAGCCTGCGTTAACCTCATCCCTCAGATTACATCCATGTGAGTCCTTATAGGAGTTGGGGGGTTAACCTAACTCTAGGGGCTGATTGGCAGTGCTTTTCCCTGAGGGTAGTCTTTGCTCCCTCAACACTCTCTCCCTGACCTTTTCAGCTATGAGTGGAAAGGAAAGATTGAGGAGGACAATGAGGTGCTGATGGTGAGAAACATTTCCCCATCCAGTGAAAACTGGATTCCCTGACACTGACCCCATTCCCTCACCTGAGATCCTGAAATCAGCCCCATTCCTTGATTCAGTCGTGTTTGTGTTTTGCCTCGCAGATGATTAAAACCCAAAGTTCCTTGGTTCCAGCTTTGACAGATTTTGTTCGGTGAGAACTTTGACGTGGGTAGTGGTCCCAAGTGAGCCCATTTGCTGGGCAGTCTGGGGGGGGTGGGCTCCTTTAGGTAGATCTTTGAGTGATCCCCCCCCCCATGTTTTCACAGTTCTGTGCACCCTTACGAAGTGGCTGAGGTGATTGCATTGCCTGTGGAGCAGGGGAACTCCCCATACCTGCACTGGGTACGCCAGGTTACAGAGTCTGTTTCCGACTCCAGCACAGTCCTACCATGAGGAACCCTGTTTCTGCCATTGTTTCCCTTGTATACTTCATGCCCTTTGACTTCCAGGAGATGACTGGGCCCCTAATAAATCCTGTCTTTGGTTTTCTCTGCCTTTTGCCTTTTTCCTTTCTCCTTGTCAGGTGTGTGAATTTGGTTGGGAAGACTAAAAGTGCGCTAGTCCCTGTGTTCTCATCTTCCAGAATGACCCAGGGCTGCTAGATCTGTTTATTTACCTTTATTTCAATCATACAGAGTCCGGGATCCTTTATCATCCCCCCCTCCCTCCTCAGTCTCCATCCCCAGGGGTTAAATAATTTTAAAAAATATTTAAAAAGCTGTAACAAAATAACATCAAAGGAAATGGGAAGAGGGATGGGGGAAGGGTCAGGAATCGGGAAGGGAGTAGAGAAGAGAGAACCTCTTCCCCAAACTCCCACCTGGATTCCAGCCTGGGCAGTAGGGACAACTACCCACCCCCCCGCACCTCCCCAGGTACATCCCAGCTGTAGGTGAGGTCAGAGGTCAGGGTACGAAAGTGCCGGTGTGTGTGAATGGGGAGGTAGGCAGAGGCAGGTTGTTTAGAAGATGCCCCCACCTCCCCACTCAACCAGGTACTGCACAGAACCATCAGGCCGTACTCTCCGAGCAAGGACCCGGACAGGGTCCCCTCGGGACAGGTAGCCAACCCCACCTCGAACTCCTCCCCCAGTCCCAGGAGACAAACTACGGCACAGGGGAGAAGGGGGTGCTGAGCGTCTAGGAAGACCTGGGGAGGGGGCTGGGACCGAGGACGATGAGGCAGTCATCGAGTTGGGGGCACTTTTAGGGATGTCTGTGGGGAAACCAATGTGAAGTTCCAGGGGTGACCTAGGGAGAGAAGGCAGTTGTGAGTCCAGATGCAGATAAGGACTAAAAATGGAGCTCACGTTTGGATCAGAGGCACAAAGAAATCGGGTTAGAGGCTGAGGAACTTAAGAGCACAGACATGAAGAAGAGGGGTGGCACAGGTAAAGGGGAAGAATCTCACCTGTCTGGGGGTTCACCATCCCCAGAGGTCCCTGCGGTGCTGGCAGAGGGGTGGAAGGAAGCGAACATCCGGATGGGACTGCTGGGGTTGGGGAGGGGAAAGTCAGGACCTGAAGCAGGGGAAGAGGACCCTCTCCCACTGAGAAGAACAGAGCTCAAACAGCCCCAAGGCATCCCCAGCCCCAGAATATTAGGGATCAGACGTTGGTTCTGAAAGTCTCTAGGATAAGAAGTGAGTAGCCAAGGGGGAGATGGAAAATAATTCTGGGTAAGAAAGTCCAGAGGATGTAGAAAATTGGAAGAGAGATTCTAGGGGTACGTAACTGGTTGGAGGGTGAAGGAACACTGACCTGGGCAGGCAGCGGGCATCTGTGGGCCGGAAGTTGTAGCCGCTGCTGCCCTGGTAACTCTGGTTAGGGCTGGGGGGTGGTGGAGACACTGAGGCCTAAAAGAAGGAGCAGAGCACTAAGAGATAACCCTTGATTCCTTCCCACACCACCATTTGGCTTCATGGGGTTCCCCCTGCCCCTGTACCTGCAGTGCCCTCTGCAGACGAGCCCGCTCCCTTTGCTCCTGGGGCTCGGGCTGATTGCGCACTGCTGAGGGTGGCCCCAGCTCCTCCATTTTCCCCTTCTGCCTCCTCCTCAGGGGCTCTGGCTCCGGCCTCCGGCGCTTCCCCAGGGGACGTGAGACCCCTCCCCCAGGGCCCTGCCCTGAAGGGAAGCTGTAAGAGGCCTCCTTATCCCCCCAGCCCCCTCCCGGACACCCCAAAGACCTCCCCATCTCCATAGGTATGCCTCCCCCATTAATACCCTGAGGATTTCCCCATCCTCCCTGGACCAGTGACCTGGTGGGGGCTCCATCTTCAGTAACAGGCTCCACAGGGGGAGGGATCCGAGCATGGAGACCAAATAAGCATTTTCTCTTCTTAATCTCCCTCCCTGAAATGAAACTGGGGTGAGGAGAGAAATGATACAGGGTCAGTGCAGTAATAAAGGGCCCCTCTATGCCATTACTCAGTGCTTTTCAAAAATGATCTTCCCAGGGGGCTGCAGCTCCTTTCCTCCCAGGCCTCTGTATCTGTCTCTCTTTCTGAGCCCCCCCTCCAACTCACCGGTCCTTGTGGCTGTTGAGAGCAGAGAGGAGTTTGGAAGAACGTTCTCCCTTGGGAGTGTCTGAGAGCTGGGGAAGGGGGGCGCAAAAGGGGTCAGGGGAGCAGTGGTCCCTCTCCCTTCCCCCCCTTTATTTATACTTCTCTTTCCCCCCCCCCTCACCCCCCAAAGCTTCACCACCCCTTACCTCCCCGAGGAGCAAACTGTCCCAATTCTCAGAAGTGAAGGGGAGGATCTCACGGTCAAAATCAAAGTATTTTTTCTTACAGCAAACGCTGAGGTGATAGAGGACAAGATGGGCCACATCCACCCTGAAGAAATATTAAGTTGTCAGGGTTGTGGCAGCACTGCAAAAGCCTAAAGGGTCCCGAGGTGGGAGGCTGGGGCACACCGGGTGACCTCCTGGGGCTGCTGAGAGGACCTATGCTGAGATCATATCAGCTCACCAGCGAAGCTGTAGCCGCCTGACCTTCTCAGGGCCCCCCCGACACACACAGCATTCGAACTCATAGAACCTGAAAGTGGGCAAGAGGGAAGGAGAGAACACACCTTATGCCAGGAAACCATACCAGGCTATGGAGGACTCACAAGGACGGGGTGCGCAGGGGAGTCAAGCTTCAGAGGCTGGGGAGAAAATGGAGCCGAGGCCGCGCTCTTGGCTCACCTGTCCCCATAGAGGAGGGGCTTGCTCAGACACTGGGTGCAGGCCTCGTGGAACCACTGCAGGCAGCTCCGGCACTGCAGCATCTTCAGATTCCACCTGAGGGGTGGCACAGGCCTCGTGACCTCCAGACACTGCCCCCACCTGAGGCGCCCCATGCCCTCTGCACCACCTCCTTCTGTTCTCTTCAGCACTCCCCTCATCCTGTTCTTTCTCCTTCATTCCCTGGGCTTCCCCCTACCCGCACTGCCAGCACTCCTTCCCTAAACCCCCGCTGCCCCCCATCCGTCATTACTCACTCCCCGGGGCCACCACAGTAACAGTAGCTCTGCTGCCGGTTGCTCAGATGTCCAGCGTCCCAGTCTAGCCCCTTTAGTCCATACGGCAGTGACAGCTTCATGCCCAGCATGGCCCGTGCATAGGGGCCCTTCTTCAGTGCACCCCCCCTCTGCAGACAGGGAACAGACAGCCTGCCTCAGAGGGGTGCGGGGGGGGGCACGGAAAGGCTTGGGAGAGGCTGTGGATGGGAGGCTCCCACAGGAAAGTGACTTACCTTGGTGGCAATGGCGAAGACACACTGGCGGCAGACCCAGGATGTGCCCTCTCCTTCTCCAGGGGCGGGGGCCCTTGGAACGTGGCAGTCCTGGTGATAAGCTGAATAACAATAATATTGATGGTGCTGGCGACTGGGACAGGAGGGGTCTCAGCCACCTCATTTCATCCTTGACCATGATCTGGTTGTAGTGGGTGAATTACCCTTATTTTACAGGTTAGGGGACAGACTCCTAAGGGTTTGGGGAGGTCTTATGGTTAGAAAAGGGTGTATCTAAACCACCCTCTGTCTATAAACCTCACACCTCCCCATTCCGTGGCTGTTTCCCCCTGTACTGGAAGGGAGTGAGGTTACAGAGTTGAGACTGGCCCAGAGCAAGTGGCTTGGGGACTCAGCCAGGACAGGTAGCATAAGGACCAGTGGTGGAGGGAAGACTTGAGAGGCAGACTGGAAGGCTCAGAGCAAGCTGGACCATTCAGGTGTCCTGCCCTCTCACCGTGGCGACACTTCTCACAGCTGACCAGCCGGTTCCCAGGGCCCACAGTCTCAGAGCGACAGACACAGCAGAGAAGTTCCTCCCCGGGGAGGGCAGCTGTGAGAGAACACAGTGTTGTGGGGCCTATCCTTAAGCCCCCTTTCCATCCCCCACACCAGGTTTCTGCTTTTCATGGCATGCACAGGCTTGGGACTCGAGGGTCTCACCGGGGCTAATGTCTTTCCATAGAACCAGAAACTGGGAATCGTCCTCAAACTGGACCAGACACACCTCCCGAGCACTGTCCACCTGGAATGGATGAGCACAGGGGATGACACAGGAATCAGAACTCCATAAGGAGAATGGGGGAAAGATAATAGGTCAGAGGTCAAATCCCTTACCTTCTTGATGGTCCCCAAGTATAGCAGCCCATCCGTCCACCTGGCCAGCACATCTTGACCCTCCCAAAGACGAGGCCTGGGGCCTGAGGTGGGAGCAGGGGAGGCTGGGTCCCAAAGTGGGGGGGCACCAGAGCGGCTCAGCCGGGGGGGCTGTGCCATTGCATCCTGGGGGGGGCCTAGCCAGAAGTGGGATGGGAGAAGGTTATGAATGTTGAGCAACTCCCCATTTTTCTTTGCCTCAAGGATTCAAGTAACCGTGGTTCCAGTCTCCACATCTGAGACACCTTGATAGGAAACCACACAGCACCCCTCCCAAGCTTCTTGACTCCAGCTTTTCCAACTCTGGTGACTGGCTCTCCTCTCCCTAACACCCCCCCCACATCCCCCAACCTAGTTCTCTAGTTTCCCAGCTTCCAGAGCTCCCCTGGGGTACTATATCCTGGCCTTGAGGTTTTAGGAGAAATGATGGTTGCAGAAGCAAAGGTTACCATTCAGTTTCTACTGTCACCTTCTCCTGTTTGGAGGTATCATAATTGGGGTGCTCTGTTACCGAGATGTGTTTTGGGAGCTTTTCTGGAAATGTTTTCCAGAATAGAAACGGATGCCTCCCTGGGCCCGCGTGTCTCATTCAGAACAATCATCCTGACGCCAGGTTATGTCAGGTCACCCTCAAATACGGGGCTCCCTGCCCCCGGGTTAGATAACTTCCCTGAGTGCCCCGGGAGGGGGGCGTGTCCCAGTCCCGGTCTCTACTCCCCATGACGGTGAATCCGAGAGGGGACTTGAGTCGGCCCAGCGCGAACCGATGCCTTGGCGGCGAGGCTCTCCCGCCCGCCCCCTGCGCCCCCCCCCCCCGCCCCCCCCCCCCCCCCCCCCGCCACCC